AAAAAAACGGATAATGATTTTTTTTATTTAGAAAAATAGTTTTAAAAGCATAACTTATAGTTAATCAAGATAATTGCTCAGCTTACCAGCTAAAGGTCTCCCATCTAACTTTAGGCTAAATTCTATAGTCTGGGGACCATCTTCGACGTACTGGTTGTGGAGTCTACATTCACGAGCACACCACACAAGTATACTTTCCAGGTTGACACTGAATCCTCGAAGCTCAGGAGGCAATTTCTGCAAAACGAACGTGTTTCTGGTGACACCAAAGATCAATTCGCGTGTAGCCTTGATGTCATTTTTCGTTCTCAGCAAACCAATATCGTTGTTCTTCTGAAAATAATCAATAATAAAGAAATCAACAGATCAAATCCTATACAGACGAAACATAAGTTAAGCTTAAGTTAAGAATATAAGCAGCAATTCATATCCTTTCCAAAACAAAGGTAGACAAAAAATCACATTTCGATTATCGAATGTCGATAACAAACTTAAAGGCGATTTATGTAAAATATAAAACCTCATGCATGATAAATTCTAGGCTAAACGAACTAAACACAAAGTAAATGTTTTGATTTCGTAGCGACCACGATTACTCGGCTCCGGCCGCCATGATGATATGCAAATCAACGACGGAGTTTGTACCCTGATTGGTTCACCAAAATATTCTATTGTCTTTGGAGTACTTTCATTGGACAAACGACAGAAATTGTTTTGCACGAAAACAGAAAAAAACAGTTCCTTACCCCAGTTCTCCCCGTGTGCAGAAAATTTAATATCGTTTGCCATGCTTTATCTGGAAGCTTTGCCAGTAACTTCACGTACAACTGTTGCCAATCAGGAACTCTGTATGATTCGTAAAGGGAGTTTAAGGTATCTGAGCCTAGCATTAATTTGAGTCCATTTTTGAGGCCTTTGCTTTCTCTTACTACATCAACAGATGAAGAGATTACTTCTTTTGCGAACTCCTGTTCAAACTCTCCTCCAAATACCAAACTTTTTCCAAGCACGAGACCGAGATCCTCGCTGGAGTATTGSTTGGAGATGGAAGTGACCGTACTTCGAAGAGACTTTGCGAGGTAGCCATCTCGTTTAGCCCTCTTTCTTTTGCTAAACTCGCCATTCCTTAGTTTTTCCAAAAACTCTTTTGTGAACTGGTTGTCGTCGCGTTCTTGACGTCTAAGAGTGGCGTTCTTTTGGTTTTCTGGGGTGGTTGGAGRAGTTTCAAAAATGGCGCAATTTTCTCCCGCCAAAAGATAATCCGTCTTCTTGAGCTGCTCTCTCATGTCCTGAAATTCATTGCACTCTAAAAACAAATCTTTATCAAGATGCTTTCGACGGAGTGATCGTGCGAAAAGGCCAAACAAAGTGCAAACGAAAACAACATCCCTTTTTCTGTTACAAAACCATGTCGATGGGACTCGAGCGCCATGTTCATCAYTGAGCTTATCACGGTTTATCTCGACTAGTTCTCCTTTAAAATACTGAAAGACATCACTGCTAGCAAATTCTTTCAACTTTCCATCTGCCAAAGCGCTTGATACAGCATACCAAGCATAGGATTCATCAAGATCGGAGCTGTATACTCGATGAAGACGGAAGGCACTATCAGTACCTCCGTCCATCGCGACGAAAACCCAATGAATATTTGAATTTGCGCGCGTTGTCTMTTTTATATGCGCTTATATTTCATATTAACCATTAATCTGGAATAGATGATAACTTGATCTCATGACCTTATTATCTTGACTCATATATGATGACAGGATATTTACAGGCAAAGTTTCTGCAAATACCTTAAATAACAAAAGATTTATGAAACTCATCAATTCATGTATGTATAGTGTGTGGACTAATGTATAATAAGTTTAATATAAAATACACTACCAAGGACGTGATATTTTTTCCTGGTGGAAAAGCATATAACTAAAGTACAATAACATATTTATGTTATTGAATAGGATAAATAACTATTTAAAGGTAGTATTATAATGAGAACTTCATATTGTAACAAAATAACTTTTCCCGCGAAAAAGCTGAGGAATGTGTGTCGCGAGATGTTGTAGATTTCATAGACATTGTTAATGTGTTGCAATTAGGAACCTCAGTGAATACTAACAATTTATAATTGTGTTGGTTATTAAAACCGTGATAAATGAAAGGATGCACATCAGAATCCTAACACGAACAACATTGAATAGCGTCTGACCAGATCCAACAGGAGTAAACACTCCCGTTTTCTTTAGAACCGTCTTTGAGTGCGATTTACTTATTGCGCGGTCCGCCTTTATTGACTTTACTTTTGAACCATGCTGAGATATTGGAGGTGGAATTCTGCACCGTTCTGCTCTACGCCAACCAATACCAAGAGAATATCGATGTTTAGGACAAATAGTCCAGGAAGCTAWGTCATTTGGAGTTGAATATACTGATGATCGTGCTAAAATTAGATCTACTTCATTCTCTACGTCATTCACCCCAATGCGTCGAATATGAGCTGAAATATCTCTTTCACAAGATAACAAGGGTACGACAGCGTTGTTTTTATAACGGGTATCCAGTCCACAAGCACCTCCAGTTACCTTTTGGAATGAGCAAGAGATCTGCGATTCCATTTTGACGTGTGTTAAGCTCGTCACACACTAACAGTGTTATGTGACTGTGTTGGTATTATATGCAAATATGTCTATACATTTTTTTGTTCAAATACTATATTGTCCTTTTAAATATATAAATCTCTTGTACTATAAATTTTACCATTTTTTTGGTACATTTCGTTACTTTGATTTCCGAATCTTAAGATATTTTCATAACCTAAGAATAACCAAACTGATTCCGTGACAAATAATCTCGCCTTATGAAATAGGTGCGTTTAATATCCATAGAACAGACTTATTGTAACAAAAGAAATTCTCCTTTTTACTAAAATAATTAACAGAAAATAAACTTTTGAGCCTCATATTATCACTGATAGGCCGATTTTTGTGTTTTAAGTTTTACGTTTTATAAGTTGTGCCTAGTATTTTTTTTTGCATTGAGCGAATWCTGATATTTCACCAATATTTGGACCCCAATAACTTCGCAACAATAAAATACCCCAAGAAAATTTTTTAATCCACTTAAAGCTTTTTCTTTGATTATTCAAACCTGCTAGTTTCAAAGGATTTGGAGAAGTACCGGATAGAAAACTTTGACTTTTAATATATGCATAAAAAGTAACATTTTTCTTGCATAAATTAAGCAAAACTTTAGTCTCGCAATTGATATTCTTAATCCGACAGCGAAGTGATTTTATTGCTCTGAGTACTTCGAAACACACCTAATCTAGCAACTTATAAGGTTTTTTTTGATTRGATATCAAGTATTATTGGAAGGAACAACACGTAATGGAATGCTACTCGCGACATTGTAATTCGGGTGTTTTGACGAAATTCGGGTACCGTTAGTTTTTCGTAATTTTTTTCGCGTTTCAAAACACATTTCAAAAAACAAACCCCACCACGATTATAGGTATATGATAGAGCAACTACGTGCAAAATATGAAGCATTTTGATTTTTCATCATGTGCCGTCCCTTGCTCGATATTAGTTGACATTCACTCTTAAGTGGTCATCTTCAGGGAACACAAAACGGTACAAAAACAAAAACGCATTCRAGCTGAAATGAAACTGTTTTGCGCGCGCAATAACGACAATGCGCGCGCTGTTACAATGAAATGCAAGAAAGATAAGAATTATAATTAATTATTGAGCAAGCACAAATAGTTTCCAGGCAGACCTTTGTCCCTATTGAACAATATGTTCTTTCCCTTGGCAATTTGACAATTTGTGTGAATATTGACATAATTTGCAAATATTACACACTGGTATCAAAGTCATAAAAAATGTGCAATAAACTTTWAAAAAATTTTACTTATTTATGATGTTGGACTGAAAACACAAGATAAATATTTTTTTCTTGGTTATTTGATTTTAGTTGTTAAGTTAAAAAAGTATAACATTTACTTACTATATTRTATGCTTGATAAAGAGCTGCATTAAAAAAATAATATTTATTAATGTGAAAAAGAGATTGTTTGTTTTAAAGTAATTTTTCTTAATTGTCATTCTTAGGTATAGAAGATCGAATAGCATTTTTCTGGGACTTTGGTTTGGTTATAAGAAACCAGAATTCCTAACATTTCTTCAACCTTTAA